GAATACTTTACGTGGCCTTTTAGCTTTTAAGGTCCAGATCTATGTTCATGAGCATTATCTTGATGATATGATGATTTTTGATTTAAGGCATAAGCCTTTTTGGATTAGGGTTTGAGCTTAATGCCTTTGGGGTGGTTCTTAATGGGTAAAGTTGGAAACCTTACCCTTCTGGACGTATTTTCAGCCTAGTTCTGGAAGATAGGGCTTTGGTTTGAAGATTAGTGGCTTAATGCATTAAGTGGGTTGGCAGACTGATGAACTCGACGAGTTCATAGGGGAACTCGGCGAGTTGGTTTGGGATTGTCCCAATTCTGTTGAAAAATGAGGCACTCGACGATTTGAGGGAAACTCGGCGATTTGGATCGAAATATCACGATTCTGTGATTGATGGAAACTCGGCGAGTTGAATGGTAACTCGACGATTTGGGTCAACTCGGAGCATTGACTTTGACTTGGATGTTGACTTTGACTTTGACTTTGACCAAATTGAACCTTAAGGGGTTATGAGTATGGATCGGTATCTAAGGGGTTGTTCTGTTTAGGGGTTAAGCATAGCTAATTCTGGAGCAGAGGCATTTTTAGCTATCAGTCGACACTTTAGGTTAGTTTCCTCCTGGATTGCACGGGTCGAAGGCACCAATGTCGGCTCGTGTTTATGTTTGTATGTTCCGGACTAGGGTCTGATGTCGAGCTGTGCCTAATGGTTATGTATATGCCTTCCGGATTACGGTCTGATGTCGGGCCGTGCCCGAGGAATAGTTGTATGCTTTGTGCCTTCGTGACTCCTGCATGTGTCTGTACTTGTATGCTTTCGGACTAAGGTCCGATGCCGAGCGGTGCTTGATGATTATGTTTATGAATGTATCTATGTGATTATTGTATGTGTATATTTGATATGTGCTATATGCATGTCGAGCTCAGCTCGATGCCGGGCGGGGCCCGATGCCGGGGGGACCCGATGCCGAATATAGTCTGATGCAGGGCGGGGCCCACCATATGTAATTATGTGTATGGTATATGGTAGTTTGGGGAAATTCACTAAGCTTCGTGCTTACGGTTGTCAGTTTTGATTTCAGGTACTTCCGGTAGCTAGGGGAAGAGCTTGGGATGACTGCATTACACACACCATGATGATGTTTTACCTGGGATGTTACTCTGATGTTATTGATATGGATACTTTGTTTTATGATCATGATTGGTTGTTTTGACAATGATGTTTATTTAATAATTTAAAAACGAAATTTTTGAGACCATATTTTATGTATGTTATATATAAAACACTTGGTTTTGAAAACCTAAATATTCATATAAAATCAAAAGATATACCATATTGTATACACAAATCTAAAAGAAGTTACTTAGTATAGCAACTTAAATATAACAACTTTAAAAAAAATAGTAAGAAACGTTGATAGATGTCATTTTATACATTTTTTACCCCTGGTATTAGATTGTTTATTTTCAAATGTCCAGGTTTTCATTGTGATATTCGAACCATAATACCCCTCTACACTTGAAAGATTAACTCTGTTAACAGATTAAAATGCTTTTTAACCAAATAGTATTGACAGTTCTACACTTGGTGCTTTTTAACTTGATAGTATTTATAGTTTTGACCTAATCATAATTTGATGCTTTTCAAGGTTAAATTTTTCCAGCATTGTCAGACCAGGCGGAGTGGCTGCGGTTGAGGCTGCACTCCCCTTGCCACATAAGCACAAACATCGCCCCTGGGTTCGGTCCAGGTGTGGCTGAGGCCGCGATACGGCTTTCGGAGGGAGCGTTCCTTGGTTCATTTTGATTAATCAGCCATTTTGACGTTTGCAAACAATCATAATTTGGGTTTTTAATTTTTTTTTTCCTTTTAACCTTTAACATCTATTTAAGCCTCTCAACTCTTCATTTTGTTATCTTTCTATTACATTACCTCTCAAAAAATTAAAAAACATGTCTTCGTCCGATTCTTCTAAAGAATTTGATGTTATGTTCGATGTTTTTGTCGCTGCTGCTTAATTTGCGGAACAAACGTATGAAGCGGCATGCAGTAAGGGCATCCGGCAGGGCTGAACAGAGAACCCGAAGATTTATTTGTAGAAATCGTGAAGATGCAAACCAACATCTAATACAAGACTACTTTCAAGAAAATGCCACTTTTTAAGGATACTACTTCAGAAGGCGCTTCAAAATGTTCAAACCATTGTACGAACGTATAGTCGAAGATCAAATGAGGGAGTTTGATTTTTTCAAGCAATGGCCCTATGCTAGAGGTACACCCGGTTTCACCCCTTTACAAAAAATACACAGATGCACTTCGTCAATTAGCATATGGCAACCCTCCTGATGCGTTGGACGAGAGTTTTAGGATGTCAACTAGGACTGCACGAGATAGTCTACACTATTTTTGCAAAACTATTATTCAGTTTTATGGTCCAAAATATTTACGTAAGCCTACATGCAATGACATCATGAAATTGCAATCTCATCATGCTAGCGTACATGGCTTTCCTGAAATGTTAGGAAGTTTAGATTGTCTACATTGGGCATGGGAAAATTGCCCTACCTCACACCATGGTTAATTTACCCGAGGTGATCATGGGCATCCAACGGTCATACTTGAAGCGGTGGCATCACAGGATCAGTGAGTTTGGCATGCTTTTTTTGGTTCTCCTGGATCCCTTAACGACATTAACGTTCTTAATCATTCACCTATATTTAACAACATATACGACAGATCTGCATCAGATTCTTCTTTCCAATTGCATGGAACACCATATTCATATGGTTATTATCTAGTTGATGGGATCTATCCTGAGTATGCAGTTTTTGTTAAATCGTTTACGTGTCCGAATGATACTCGTCGGAAAAAATTCAAGAGAGCTCAAGAAAGAGCTAGGAATGATGTCGAGCGGGCTTTTGGAGCTCTCAAGAAACGATGGTTTATCTTGAAAAACCAGCAATTTTTTTCAGCGAGGAAAAAATGCATGAAGTCATGTATGCAGCTATAATACTGCATAATATGATTATCGAAAATGAAGGAAGAGCGATATGTGAGTATGATGAAGAGGAAACCATTCTCGCGACACAAGCAATAGAAATTGGGGGCGACAAGTACATTGAAAAGAGAGCAGAGGTTCGTTCCAATGAAACATTTCACAATTTTCGTATGGACTTGGTGGAACACATTTACGGGATTCAACACATTAACCTCAATTTGAATCCGGAAGATGACCCGGAAGACGAGTTCTCAGAGGACGACTTCATGTAGTGTGTTTTATTTTTAATTGTTTGATGTATGTTTTTTTTAAGTTTGTAGGTTTAAATATCTAGTGTTCTTTTTTTTGAAATTTTTAGGATTCTTTTTTTAAGCAATTGAATGTAATGTTATTTTTATTTTGAAGTAGGGTTGTAAATGAACCGAACGAACACGAACGAGGCTTGTTCATATTCGTTTGTTTAAGTTAGCCGAACAAATGAACGAATACGAACGGATAAACGAACGAGTTTTCTTGTTCATGTTCGTTCGTTTAACAAATTGCATTGTTCATGTTTGTTCGTTTATGTTCGTGAACATGCTAAACGAACATAAATGAACAAAGATAAACAAACATAATTCAAACATATATGAACATATATGAACATAAATAAACATATAATATAGTATTGTAATCATATACAGTTAAACATATATGAACATTAAAAGAACTTAGATGAACGAACATAAACAAATGTAAACGCACAATACAAAACGAACGTTCACGAACATAATTAAACGAACAATATCATTGTTTATGTTCGTTTGTTTAACTAAACAAACGAGGATTTGTGTTCATGTTCGTTCATTTATTAAATAAACGAATATAAGCGAATTTCCCGCCGAACGGCTCACGAACAGTTCGTTGAACGTTCGGTTCGTTTGCTGCACTATTTTGAAGTAATAAAATAAATGTTTTTTTATTAAAAATATAGTTTTTATTTAATTAAAATGAAAAAAAATCAAGTGTGGCATGAAACCACACTTTTGTAGTAAATGATGACCTGTCGCTACATGGCGGTGAAAAGAATGCAATTTTTATGACACCACTCCCTCGAGTCTTATTATACATGACCTCCGGTCTTATTATACATGACGTGTCAAACCTACTCGGCATGTCACATCAACGAACATATTTTATATCAAAAATATGTTGTGAAATTCCAAGTTAAGAAGTGAAACATTTTCCTAAATGGGTCCTATGGAATAAAAAAATGTTAAGAGGCTAAAATTGAGCACAAAAAAATATGTTGTAAAATTCTGAATTTAAACTCTTACTACTACTCACATAATGTAACAAACAATGCCAAGTGCCAAGTCAGCACTTGACTAGTTGACTCACTGCCATAATTCCATTCGTTTACAAACCAAATATATATTTGGCTCCTTTTTTACATTACATTTTCACCCTTCTTCTTCCAAACTATTTCACATCTTGCTTTTTGAAATACGGAGTAGAAAACTTCATACCATTTAAAACTTACAACTACTACAACCACCATCGTTTTTCACAGGGGTTCTTGCATTGTCACAACCAGCGGACTCCTAACAACATGCTTCCCGTCCGACCACTCTATCGATCCACTCTTTGTAATGGAACTTCCGGCCGACAGCTTCATCGCCACCACTTTCACCCTAACCAGAAAGTTCAGTTTCTGCCCCTCCCTCCTGAAAGCAAGCTTCATCGGCTCCACTGTCACGTTCATCCCTCTTGGTGGCTTTATGCTCACAGTGTAAACAGATTTTGCTTCACCCACGTTCGTCACTGTTCTGATGAAATGTGTCGACATTTTCCGCTTCCCGTATAGTTGGAACACAGCAGTCATTGACGGAAAATTTAGGTTTCCGGTGTGTCCTGCTTTTTTTGCCCGACTGCAATCGGCGTGCTTCCTGGTAATCACTTGGATGTTTTTGGTTGTGTAATTGGAATTACAGAGGAAATCAATGTAATCGTATGAACTGATGTCGTAGACTAATCCTGGATCCATGGCTTTTTGTGGGTGAACGTGTCCAGCCCCAAAATCCATCGCTGTGGATGAGTTTCCGGTGGATTCATCTATCATCGTTTCCCCACGGTTGTCGAGTGTGTAAGCTGTTGTTATCAATGCCGATTTTATCGCAGCTGGGCTCCATCCTGGGTGGGCTGCCTTTAACAGGGCGGCGAGTCCGGAAACATGAGGGCAAGCCATGGATGTGCCGGATAAAATGTTGAATTCTGTTTTCCGGTTGTCTGATGCGAGGCCGGAGGGGCCGACTTTGTCCGGCCATGCTGCGAGAATGTTGAGTCCTGGAGCGATAAGGTCTGGTTTCAGAATTTCCGGGCGACTCGGGGTTTGGTCCACGGGCTGAAAATGAGGCGACGACGGGTGCAGGGCGGACGTTGATTCTGGTTCCTTTGAAGATGATTGTGGCTTTTGGGGGAGACTTGGATTTTGAAGCTGACGTGATGTATCGTCTTATCTCGTCGCCGGAGGATGCACCGACGGAGGTAGCAGGTAATACGTGGCAATCTGCGACTAAACCTTCACCATCGAAGACGCCGTTTGCTAATATCATCCCCATGCCGCCGGCTTTCTTAACAACTTCCCCTTTTTGAGCTCGTGAATTGATTCCTCTGTCGCATAAGACGATTTTGCCTCGGACGGAATTAGGGTCTAGAGAGCCTTCTAGACATAAGGATGCAGAGTAACCGTCGCCACCTTCGTTTCCGGCGTAAATTAGTGGGTAGAGACGGTGGTGCGCCAATGCGGGGCCACCGTAGACGCTAACGCCTGGGATTAATTTACCGTTTCCAAGCTTTACGTCGGCGGGGAAGTCACGGTCAATTGCTCCTGCTCCGACTGTAGTAACCCATGGTGCAATGTTTGTGACTGTTAGCCCACCAGGACCACCGTTTCCGGCAGAAGCAGAGACAAAAACGCCGTGATCGGAGGCGCCAAAAGCACCGATTGCAATTGCATCGAGGTAGTAGGGCACAACGACGCCACCAACACTATAAGGGATATAACGTCTACGCCGTCGTTGACTGCGGAATCAAAGGCCGCGAGGATGTCTGAGTCGAAGCAACCCGCGCTCCAGCAGACCTTGTAAGCAGCGAGACGAGCTTTCGGCGCCATTCCAGCAGCGACACCACGGGCGTAACCGAGAGTTGACGCCGGAAAAACATACCTACCAGCGGCGATTGAAGCTGTATGAGTACCATGACCATCGGAATCTCGCGGCGACCGATGCTCCACCGTTTCGTTCATCTTCCCATTTGTTGATTCGTATCCGGCAGAGAAGTACTTAGCTCCGATGAGCTTCCGATTACAAGACGTCGCCGGGAAACCTCCGGAGGCAACACAACTTCCCTTCCACTTAACCGGCACCGGACCTAACCCCCTATCGTTAAAACTCTCCCTCTCAGGCCAAATCCCAGTATCCAAAACTCCAATAACCAGATCGGACCCGAAATCCGACTCCTTCAACAACCCTGCACTATCCGACGTCTTAAGCCCTAGAAACTCCGGCGAACGCGTGGTATGAAGATGACGAACTTGTTCAGGAATAACCGAGAGAACCCCAAAAGCAGATTCAAGCTTGGAAGCCTCTACAGCAGAAAGCTTAGCTGAGAAGCCATGGAATACGGTGTCGTACGTGTGAATAATGCGAGAAGAAGGAAGACTCCGGTCGTAAAGAGCAGCGAGGGTAGAGTCGTACCAGTGTTTATGAGTCGGGAATATTGAAGGTTTAGCGTCGTTCTGAACTCGAACAATGAATGTGGTTTGGCGTTGTTGGTCTGTAGCAGAAACAGTGAGGATAAGAAGAAAAATGTAAAGTAAGAAGTGGAAGTAAGCCATGGAAGAGATTTAAATTTTCCGGCCACCGTTGGTGGTGGTGAATTTGGGTTGAAATGAAAGTGAAGGTGAAGAATGGGTATTTGAAATTGTTGCAGTGGCGGTACATTGTGAGCTGGAGTGAGTGGGTTTGTGTCAGCGTGTACTCATGTTTCAATCCGTCCCCACCAAAATAAAAAATTCAAACTACCAAATTTAACATCTCATAAATACAAAGTTTAACTTTTATATTTCTATTTTTACATAAAAAAAATTGTGTATATATAAATATTAAATATAACATATGGGTTGAAACTTGAAAGACTTTCGTTATATGTCAACAAGTCTTGATTAAAAAAAAAACGATATTGTACGCATGTCAAAAAAATATTTATAACATACTGAGACAAAAGAAAACAAAACCTATAAAAAATAGTAATAAATAAATATTCACTCCATAACTCCGGATAAGTTATAATAAACGGTGGTCGCTGGTATAGTGGATATTTATAGTTATTTACTTAAATGGCCCCTTCATTTTGCATAAACTTCATTGTGAGAAAAAATTAATCGAGCCATTAATGTCCATGACTGTTTAAGCTTTAAACTCAATTTAGTTTAATAAATGAGAATTATACTTGTTTAAAACTAACATAAGCTATGTAGGAATTATGAAACATGTAATTGTAGAAAAAGTATAAAACAAAACGGGAGAAAGTGAAGATTTGCGAATAGCTGAGGGGGTATTTATGTAAGAATGTATAGAGCTGCCGACACGTTTTTCAAGCATTGGGGTGGACTGTTCGCACACGTGACACTCATTTTTTAATTGTTTATTTTGATAAAATAAGGATTCCAGTGTCATGGTCTCCATGGATATATATGCAACAAGCTCATGTTTTCTTCACGTGACTTGCTCTTTGTTTTCATAAATTTTATAGTGAATTATAGTTTTGGTCCCTTGGTTTACACACATCTATAGTTTTAGTCTAGTTTTCCAAATATTATGATGACGCATCCATGTAGTTTCAAAAAATGTGTGGTCCTTGCACCGTCAATACTCTATAGCTAAACTCCCTCAAATGACACAAATGCCCTTGTTTTGTCCTTTATGGTATTTTGACATTTCTATTTTCATTCACCGTTCATTTCAATAAAAATTGAAAATAAGCCTAATAACCCTAACACCCCAATCTAATTGAAAATCCATTTCTAACCTCCTCGCTCTGGTTCAACGTTGCCACCTCTACAAATACCACCTCAACCTCCAACAAAAGTGTTACGACCAAGGACCTTAACATAGACCACCTCAAACTCCCCCCCCCCCACCCACCCACCCACCCACGCCATTTTTCTTACTCTTTGTCCCCTCTATATCATATCTACTGACACTACCTCCATTTTCGGTGACGTAAAATCCCCAACACCGCCACCACCATCATCCGCATCTCCTTTGTCTTCCTCCTTTTCTCCTCTACCATCCTTGATTTGATTCATTCATGAACTTTTCATGAATGTCGAATTTGGGAATTTTCCTCTTGATTTAATTAAGAACTTTAGCTTTTAGTTTAATTTTGTAGTTGATTCAGTTCGTTCCAAGTCTCAACTTCATGCATTGTAACTTGTTAGTGTAAATAAGGGATTATTTTGGATCAAAATATTGTATATTCTTCTCTTCATCTAATAAAAAATATATTAGGTTTAGAGTGTTAAAGAGGGCCTCTGAGGTTCATGGCATCAAGGCATTGTGATCGGATGTAGAAACCGTGTTTGTGTGGTGAAATATCATCATATCTCATTCAAGTGTCATTTTCATGTTAATCTCCTTTGTCTTCACTTCTAGCCTTTCTAGCAATACAAGGGTCTATAAGTTTGTAACACCCGGTTTTGAAAATACTCGGTTGTGGCTTCGGAGGCCAAGGGTATAGGCGTAATGTGACGATTCGGTCTTTTATGGGTCTCGAGTCTTATTTGGAAGGTTTTAGGCTTGGGGTGTAGCTAGGAGCGTAGGGCTTCCCGCCACCTTTTCGTGAATATAAAGTTCGGTGGAAACGGACTTAACACGAAGAAGTTATAACACTTTAAAGGTTTTGGCATAATTAGCCCATGCATGGAGAAGCTTGGCGGATAAGTGCCATGCATGCAAGGGAATGCATGCACATGTTGTTGGATTAGGTGTCTAAGCCCATAACTATAATTGGTATGTACTTGACCCGATAGTAACATGGTCCATTTCGGGTTGCCTTCACCAGAACAATTTGATAGATGAATATTTGAGTAAGAGGTTATTTATGATTTATTAATATATTATAAGTATAATATATTAATTGAGGAATCATATTATTTAATTAGTATTGATCAAGAATTAATTTAGTGATCAAAAGAGACTAGTTAAATTGATACATATGAGTTGGGCTAATGATCCATGGTTTGATTTGTGATGGGCTTATGGGTTAATCCATGAAGTATTTATCCAATTAAATGGGTGGATCATAAGCTTATGGGTATGGATTAGGGTTACACATGACCCTTGATATTCTACACACACACACACACACACACACACACACATATATATATATATATATATATATATATATATATATATGAAAGCTAAAATCGGTTACCACCTTACATTCCAAGAAGTAGAATCCGATTTCTAGTCTCCTAAATCTCTCTCATATCCATCTAGTTGTTTATTGGTGTTTGTGACTTGTTTGAGGCACAACACTTGGGTGCTAAGTTCTCATAAGGCCAAAGTCTTACTAGCTACATAAAGAGGTAATCTTTTAACCAATTTTATGATTCATATGTTAAATTTTATATGCTAGTTTAGGCTTCATGCTTTGGAAAACAATGTTGCATGTATAATTAGAGAAAACTTAGATCCAAAGCATTAGGGTTGTATATGCACCATAGGAATGTTAGAGTACATAAAACCCAACAATGGTATCAAAGCCATGGGTGTTTTCTATTGTATTGATGCAATTGTGTAATTTTCAAAGCTGAAAAAATTGCATTTCGGGATTCTGCCAGGGCCAACTCGCCGAGTCCATCATTGAACTCAACGAGTTGGATGATGTTTGCCTTGAACTCGATGAGTCCTTTATGGCACTCGACGAGTTGGTGCATCTGATGACATAATCTTTGAGTTTTGGCCTGTTTTGGATTAGGATCATTACCACAAACTGTTTTGGTTCATAAAATTTGAT